GTGATGCCAGAGGCATCCTGGGCCTTTGAGAGCTCAGTCTTTGGGGGATCTGATGATTCGAAGTTTCGGTCTGCAGGAGGGAGAACATGTGCGCGCTTGCAATTCCTACAAAGCGCATGCCTGTGAGTGCGCAATCTGAATCCACTTGACCCTCTTACTGCTAGACCCTTGAAACCCAATTGGTTGCAGGACAATGGCGGAGGAAGGTTGGGCGATTCGAGCCTCTGCCAGTGGTGCGCCCATCTCTCCCCAGCTGCAGTAGTGCCTCTGCAATTTTCCTAGACCCTCCAATGTAGTACCTATAGCTTTTAAGTTGTCCTATATCTGTCCTTACCAAAAACCATACCAAACCCCGAAAGGAACTACATGGGAGGGTGTAGGTTGAATCAGTCTTGTGAAATTGCGTGTAGAAACTGATTGATAGTGCTACCACACTGCCAGTTTTTTCTTGATCAAAGATTCTGTGCAAGACTTGGATGGCCATGGTGTTTGGCCAATCGCTAGTTGTCAACCTTGCGCAACTTGGTGCGCCCAAGGTGCCCCTGGCTGCATTTCAAGTCTTGGTGTATTGTCTCGGGACATGTGCTTGGATCCTTAACAGCCTGCTACACCTTAGGTGTTCATAGCCACGGCCTGGAGCTAATCACATCGAGAGTTGCATGGGATGCTATAGCTAGCTGCAGAATGACACTGTAAGGCCTTGTGTCTTCGATGGATGACAAATTTGGATTTCGATGAGAAGTATCAATTCTTCGAGCTGTTTGCTGGAGAAGGGGCTGTTTCTCGAGTTTGGTGTCTGGGTGGCAAATACTATAGAGGGACTGGGGGAGATCTGGATACAGGGGCATGGAGTGTTATTCACTGTTGTTGGGGGCTGGAACCGTTACTCGATGTTATTTCGCTGGGTTTGGGGATTTCACCCTGNNGGGGGCGCGCGCGCCCCCCCCCCCCTGGTTTGGGTGGGGTTTTGGGATTGATTTGAGAGCCTGCTTTGGAATGGGAGCCGGGGTGGTTGGGGCCTTGGGGGCGGGGCCGAGCGCCCTCTCTCGAGGACTGGGTGTAACGTGAGGGTCTAGGGTTATAGGGCAATAGGGTTATAGGGTTATAGAGGGTTAATATAGGGTTTAGGGTAGGAGTTGCCATCTAATTGAGGAGTGCTCATGGCTTTCGGGTCGCATCCTTTGACAAGCTTTACTCCGGCAATGGAAGTATGGATTTCCTGTCAAATGCAGGTTTTGCGTGTCTGGCCTGCACTTCATGGTCACACAGCATGTCCCATGCAGCCCTCAGATTGACCGATTCATATCCCAGGCTGTCAATGTATGCAGTGCTCTGCTGCGTAGATGATGCACTGTCGCTACTTGCTCCGGACTGCTCCTCGTGGGGAGCGCCTGCAAGAGGTAGTAGTCTCCGCTCCACAATTAACCCACTAGGGCGGCAGGCTTTGTCCTGGGTGGAAGAAAACAATTGCACCGTGAGCAGGAAACTCGGCTGCATTTATTTTGATCGATAAGCCTATAGAAGCTTCACACCCACGGACATGTACAATTGTATCTGTGCTGAGGTGTGTCCTGCTCATTCTACTCATCATGAGCAAACATGGAGTTTGGCTGCTGGAACAGCCGCAGGGAAGTATACTTGCTTGCCACAAACGATGGGAGTGGTTGTGCAACAGAGTTGCCAGGGTCACTTGGCATATGGCTTAGGCTACTTGGGAAATCAGGGACTCGCAGTATAATTCTCGGGTGTGTAAATCGGCCGGGTAGAATTATAACAACCTTGCACCGAGTCCTCACCAGGCTGCAGGGGCTCCAGGGCTTAGAGGTTACTTGATTAGTAGGGTCTCTTTCTTGGAGGTGCCCCATAGACATGGCTCATAGCTTATTTTCAATTGTCAGGCCATGGGGGCTCTGATTGCCAAGGTTTTCAAGCAGGGGCTATGGATGGCTCTTCATGATGCTCCATCTTGCAAGAGGACAATACTGTTCTCTACGATGAGCACCATTGCATCTCTGGACCTTGGGCCTTTGACGAGGGCTGAAAAGGAGAAACGTGTTACCCTGCGCACTGTTCGTGACTTGTCTCTTGATCGATTGAATATGTACCCCAGCCAATCTGGCAATTCCCTCAACCCCCTGTAGATACCACTGCCGAGGCAAGTACATTGACAAGCGAGGCAGAACTCGCTTTGTTGGGGAGAAGGATGCCCTGAAGAAGTCTGGGATTCTTTGGAAGCATTAAATCAACTTGAGGGGTTGGAGCTTGAAACCCATCATGGCTGTGAGCTTCAGAGCCCCTCGCTTCTTGCTAGCCAAGGGCCTACACGATGACCTTCGGTGAAAACCTCCTCAAGGCTTATGCAGAATGGCAAGCTCTGCCTGCGGAGCATCGAGGCGAAACCCGAGGTCTCCGTACCATGGACCTTGCGCTTACTGACAAGGAGATTTTCGTGTCGCTTCCACGTGGAGATTTGTGGCTGGATAGCAGGATCCATGAGGTATTCCTATATCTTTGTGGTTCCAAGCATTGTGTGAATCTGGGCTGCATTTTTGATTCTGTCTGGGGTCTTGATGGCAATGGCAATGGCCTACATGGCTGCTTGCGCACTATCGTGTCTACAGGATACCAGAAAGCTGGACCTCGGTCATGGATGACTTTAAAGACGAGGTCTTGGTCAATGCCCCTGAGCTGTCCTAGACTGGAGCACTGTCTTCTGAAAGCCCCAGCCACAAAGCCAGTTGTTAGACCTTGTACCTTGCAAAGCCCAGGCTTGTGGTGCAGCTGACCTTCGTGCTTCCCTTCAAAAAGCCTCGGTGCCCTCGGAGTTGGGGCCTGGTGAGGCCTGTCCTAGGGCTATGTCAAGTTCGGATATGTCTCTAGACTCTGCACTGAGCTCACCAGAAGCTCTGGAGAGTTAGCTCCCTGTTGCCTGGAGACTTCTTTCAAGGGCCGGCAAGGGTTCTGGAACTTTTCTGGCCATTGGCTTGGCAAGAAGCTTTTAGAGGGGTTTTAGTCTTAAGATACAGATTCAGGCAAAAAAGTGAACAGATTTACCCGCAATCCGAGCGCAAATATCCGCAACCCGCGCGCAAATCCCCGCAACTGTGCGCAAACCCGAAAACCATTACAAACCCCCGAGCCTCTTGAGGAAGTGGTGCTAAAATTCGTTTAATTCAGAAAAGCCTGAATGGTTTTGCTGTACAGAAGGCAAAGAGCAGGGTGTGGTGGTTGGAAAAGGTATATAGTTTGGGGCCAGCGAATGCTTTCCTGGGCTCATGCTTGATCATATGAGCTTTGCTGTTTGCAGCAAGGGCTGAAGCTGGAGCTTGCACGGATCCATGACTAGCCGCCTGGGGTCTTGCAATACCCTTGTACAAGGGGTTCCTTTGCTTGCGCAAAACACAATGGTGATGAATGGTGGTGGCACTGACCTTGCCACGAGGATTGAGGATCTTAGCCTGCAGTTGTTCATGTAGCCAGAATATAATACATGTTCTCAATTGCATCTGTGCACCCTAAGGAATCCAGGAAAAGGATTGCAATTCTTCAAGCCCGCCTGGCTGAAAAAACGGGGGTTCCCATTGCCGCATCCCCTCCACCTGCAGGTCAGTCTCTCTAAGTAGCTATTAAGCCTTTAAAGGCTGAGGAGTTTAGTCATTAAGGTTTTGCTAGTTCTATAGGGGGCTCACATTTGGGGTTTAAGTGCCTAGGTCGTAGGGTTTAGGGCTTATCTTAAATTTGGTCTAGGCATATGTATATATACATATATATATATTGGGTTCCTATAGGGTTCATGATTGGTTTAGGCTTCTGGGGTTTACACTTTATGGGTGTAGGGTTCAAGCTAGGTTTAGAAGCTTAGGGGGTTTATAGGGCGCATGGGGCTTGCTAAGGTAGATGTTGTAGGGCTTGGGATAAGGCCGGGCTTGCCATTGCAAGAACAGTCACGACCTATGGGCTGGCTGGCGCCCTTGCCAGCACCCTGGCTACAGCGCCTGAAGCCCTTCCAAAAGGGTTGACTGATGCTAGCCTTGACAGCTACGATAGTAATCTGGAAGATGCGCAGCGCAGAATTTCTAAGTCTGCAGATTTCGCGACACCCAACAAGTCAGCCGTGGCAGCTATGCCTGAGTCCTATGTCCCAACAGCAGTGGTGCAGGAGAGTCAGCAAGGCTCCCAGCAAGCAAGTGTGGATGCTCCAGCCTCCACGGCAACACCCATGGTAGCAGCACCGGTGGAAGCACCCGTGTCAGCACCTGTGCAAGCACCCAGGGCAGCACCGGTGGAAGCACCCAGGGCAGCACCTGTGGAAGCACCCAGGGCAGCACCCGTGGAAGCACCCAGGGCAGCACCGGTGGAAGCACCCACAACCCTTCCGGCCATGGCCCCAGCCCCAGACACGTCTGCAGAACTCTTGTCCCCGGGTCCAAGTGCAAGCATGCTTCCCCCAGCTCCAAAGCCCAAAGGGAAGAAACGAGGCAAGATCCCTACTTACTGGAGGCCCTGGTGCATTCAATGCATAGACCCACCTAGGCCCTTGTCCCTGAACCTTCTGAAGCCTTCACCCTAACAAAGTGGCAACCCTACCCTCTGACAGGCTTAGACGCTACTTCGAGCCGAAGGCTTGTGGAGCCCTCAAGTGCAGTTCCCACGCCTTGGAGTTGTACAAGAGTGAGAGTGGCCGTGGCAAGGTTGCATCTCCTGCATGGTTGGGGGTGGGTGATTTTTTGGGGTGTTGGGTCTACAATTTGCTAACTTCAAATGTTCTTAGGTGAGAGACTCCGAGACTTGCTCAAGGCCCACGGCAACTTCGCTTCGATGGAACTCCAGCTCAAGAAATGGCACTTGAAGAAGCGGGGCCAGTCCAAACAAGGGGCCTGGGTTACCAAGCACTACCTCGCAAATGTGGCGCATTGGAGCAAGTGCATGGCTCAGTCAGTTGAAGTATGAATTATTGGATATGAGCTATTCTGATTAAAGCCTGTGGCTTGCTCAGGCCAATGATTGCATGTGCGTGGCAATGGGCCCAGAAGACCAACAACCTCAGAAAGAATGAGATTCATCAGGAAGAGGAAGCCAGGCTCCTCCTCACGGATAACTTCGAGCTGATTGATGAAGAGGGCCAGGAGGTGACCATGTCGGGGACCATTGAGATGGAGGTGTCTTGACTTGCAACCCTTCCCCATAGTGGCCCTCTGCTCTACATAAACTAGCTAGACCCCAGGCAGTTGAGCTTTGCTTTTCTGGAACCTGCTAGCCTAAAACCATGGAACCTCAACAGCTATACAACCTCTTGGGGCTTGGGGTTTATAAGGTGTATAAGGTACCTTAAACCCTAAACCCAAAACCCCAAAACCCCTAAACCCTAAACCTAAATTCCAGCCCAAGCCCAACTTGCCAGGATGACACCGGCTTCCTATTGACCAATGAGCTTCCCTGCCAGAGCTCCTCTGCAGCAGACATCGTGGCTAGAAACGTGCCCACCTCCTCTGGAACAGGCAACCCGGGGGCGGGAAACCAGCCAGTTCAGGACTCCCTTAGCACCACAGCTTCCTTCAAGAAGCTCATAATGAAGTTAGTCTATAGTTTTGTTGGTTTGTTATGTTAAGCATCAGAGATCTATTAGTTGGGGTGTATTTTAGCCTATATGTAACCCCTAACCTATACAATTAAGTTGTATAGGATCAAGCACTAATGGGGTACCCTGGTAAGGATTACCTTTCCGTCGCTCCAGCAGCATGCCAGCCCGTTCTCGATACTCCCTGGCTACATGGAGGTGTTAGGAAGGAAAATCGACAACACCGAGGATGTGCTGGACAGGGTTTGGGTTGTTGGGGTCTATATATATAGTACATACCTAGGGTATAGGGTTTAGTCTATAGATCCCCAAATCCATAACAAGCCCAAACCCTGAATTAATTAACATGAGATGGTCCGTCGTACAGAATTTACAGGGGAGATGACTTAATTGTTCATGCGGTTTGTTTGGGTAGTGGCTCCTGCAGGAGCGATTGGAGACAATTCCAGGTACCCGGGCTAGCCAGTGCTTTTTCTGCAAAATCCCATCAACTCTGTGTAACATTCCTTGAAATTTAATTAGCTTAGGTTGGCGTCTCAAATCGAGACTCGCCTCCAGGATATGAAGCAGAATTTGGATTCTCTTCAGAGCAAGCAGTCCGAAGCTGTTGGCTCTGCCCCGGACAAGCCCAAGCCCCAGAGAAGTATCAAATGGAGTACATCTAGCGTAGGGATATACAGCTAGTTGTAGAATGGAATTCCGAAGTTGTCCATGTTATGCAGGGCATTCAACGGTGACCTGCTGAAGCTGTACGCCGACATCACCAAAGGAGATCTTATCATGAACAACCTGATTGTTAGATCCAAGTCTCCTGGCCTAGATGATAGATAAGATCACAAGATCACGCAGTCTGTGTTTGTGCCCTAGGTCTGTGAAGGGGTCCCGCTCCGTGGCACCAACTGCTGCAAAGTCCAAGCCGAAGAAGAAGGGTGCTAGCCCCGCTAAAGTTGTGAAGCCCAAAAGCAAGGCTAAGAAGAGCAAGAGCACTTAAAGTGCTTCTTTGCTCTGCATCATGATCCAGCATTTCATGAGAGGTCGCCTTGCAACGAGTAGTTGTTAAACATCCGATGAGGCCACTTATATAGCTAGGCTGTCGTTGCCGAGCTTTTGACCTCTGTATGCGTCCACAGCTGCTAGACATGCGTGGGGAGATGCGTGTCGGTCAGTTTGCAAAAAGTTGATTTGTCATGTTTGTGAGATGGCATCTACACACCTGCCTGGAGTACATACATTGCATGTGAGTGGCGCAGGTCTTCTAGCTGCTGGAACCCATCCGAAAACAGGACTGGAAACCCGCAGCTTGAACCCATAGTCCTCAACCCTGAACCCTAAGCCCCAAACCTATATATAATAAAATCCTATTATAAACCCCAAACCCTAAATCCTAAACCCCAAACCCTATAAACTCTAAACCCCAAACCCTTATAATGCCTAAATCCTAAACCCCAAACCCTAAACCTGTAACATCTAACCTTAACCCCGGAACCCGAGTAGCCCTCAATTACACAGATCTTGCTCCTTGCAGGACGATCCGGTGATGCTGGAAGCTCGACAAGCGATGATGACCTGGCGGATGAACTCTTCATTGGCTTTGAAGAGGGAGCTACATGGCTTCATGAATAGCCCACTTGTGAAAATTCAAGGCTGTGAATCCCTTTAGTACAGACCCCTAGATACACCCCAAACCCCAAACCATAAACCCCACTTGTAACTTGCCTGGTGAGGCTGAGAGTGCTGGGCGAGTTGTGCGCATGGCGCAAGTTGCTTGTAGAAAGCTTAGAAAACATGGTGCTTGGGCCTGAATTGGATCTTGGATTATTTGGAGGGTTAGGGGGCTTGATGAGTATGTTATATTAATCCCCATGGAAGGCATATAGGACGGTAACATAACCCCGCGCCTCTTGGTTTAGTCTGGGCAGGTCCCTTAAGTTGTTGCCCTTTCCACAAAAAGCCTACTCAGAGGGAAAGTACTGATAAGGACAGTTTATAAGCAGTTCGATCAGAGTGTTTCTCCATTCCAGGTCACCCATAACGCTACGGATAACCCACTGATAACAAGTTTGAGCACCTGAGACCACTCGGCAGCCCATGTATGCCCCTGAAGAGCAAAGCCCCAGTCAGAGGAAGTTCACCGTTAAATATTATATAATGCTTGGGAATGGGGTTCTTTTACTTATAATCTTTTACCCCATGATATGTAGCCAAGTACTCCTGACCTTTCAGGGTTGTGTCTAAATTTATCTACTCGATCTAAGGTGCCTCTGACCGAGATCTGAACCGGATTGCAGCTTGTGGTTCTGGGGGTAGAAGCTTGAAAAATGCTAGTCGCAACCTTCACAAATTAATGGTTCGAGATGGCCGACAACTTCCTATTGACGTGACCATGGTTCCTACACCAGTTCGATTGCTCAAAGGCAAGCCTAGGGTGGACACTGTGGATTTCCCAGTTTTACTTCCATCTACTTGGCTGCGATTTATGCTCAGTATTGGTGGGGAGCTCATATTAGGAGGTCATGAGCTTCACTCAGAGTCAGACTGGCGCGGCATGTTCCGGAGCTTCTGGTCCAACTTCCAAAGGTCCCAGCCTGGGGTTGATCTAGGGCAAATTAGCCCCGACATGGCTCTTCCATTATGTGTTCATGGAGATGAAGGTCGGGGAAGAGCTAAGCGCCCCATAATGTGCATATCGTTCCAACCAATGATAAGCCACCTGGGACCTGCTGTGACAAACACATCTGGGATCTTGGGCACTTTAGAAACCTGCTTTCTTGATGTTTTGTATAGGAGCTACATAGTCTGAACTCCTTAAAGGGGCCGGTTATATGGGGGATCATATAGGGGAGTTAGACTACAGCTCATATACGTACATGTTAGTGTATATATACAGTGTTGTTCGTAATGGGGGCCCATTTGACTGCATCCTGTAAGGCACAGCTTTGCCAGTCGAATGCTGTTCACAGTAGTTCCTTCACAGATGTACACCACAAACACTTTGGATGTGTTGCTGGAAGCTCTGGTCAGTGATTTGGAGTCTCTTTTCTCTGATGGCCTTGAAGTGTCTAGGGCTGAGCTCTAATCATTGTTGTGTATAAGGCCTTGAAAGACCTCCACTTATAGCATGTTATCTGGTACGGCCCACAGCAACATAGGTTACGATTGGTTCCAAGACTATTCGCCTTCATTTCGTGGTGGTGGCCATCAAAGGTGATTGGCCATTTCTACGCAAAAGCTGTCACCTGCAGACAGGTTTTACCTCAAAACGGATCTGTCATCTTTGCCGATCTACTGAGCCCTAGCTAATTACTTAAGGTGTATTCCTAATATTCGATCTTTCAAGAGGACCCTGCACCCTGCTAATAAGTGGTTTATATACGAGGGCCCTAGTCATGAATCCCTAAATTACTGTTAATGGGGGTAGGGTCCACCTAATAGATCTCCTTGGAAAACATTATAAAGGATTGGTACGACCTGTCTGGGAATGGTGGGACTCGTCGTCTTCGGCGGCAGGATGTTGCACCAAGCCCCTTTTACCCGGATGCTGCACCCATGCGAAGATTGATATCAGACGACCCGCAACGAATCAAGCCGGACCCCGCCCATACGTACGCGATTAATGGGTGGGGCAAGGACTTGGCTGCTGGGGCTTTGGTGTTACTCCTCCATTTCCGCATTTTTTCGGAAGGTTCGATCGCAAGGTCCCTGGACAAAGCCTATCAACACTTCCGAAACTTCTGCAGAGAAAGCAACAGATCGACCTCCATCCATGAATTCAGCTTTAAGACTTTGAAAATTGAATCGTGCCTTGGCTGATACCCCCCAAAAACGTTATATAGGTGGTACCCATAAGGGAGGGTAAATTATATATATTCCCATATTCAGAAAATCTCCAACTGCATTAAACCTTGACATATAGACGACTTAGGCTGAAACAGTTCCCTACCGGATGTGGCAAGGGGCATGACTGCTCGGTAATGCTTGCATGGCTCGAAAGCTTGCTCATGGTTATTCCCGAAGACACAATTGTGCCTTGGTTTGTGTTCCATGGGTTCAATGATTCCCTGACCAGTGGATGTACTCAATAGCTTTTTTAACTTCTAGAGTTTCTATTGGAGGGGTTTATTATAACATTGTACGTGTTGAAGCCAGGAACAAGACCACCGCGAGATGTTCATGCTGTTGCGATGGACTCTGCAAGTTTCTGGGGTCTACTTTCGAACACTTTACGCAGCCAGCATCTTTCTGTCGAGAGATGAAGCCCACACGGTGGTAGATGCGGGGTGGAAAACCCTAGTCACTAGCTTCATGCAGAAGACTTGGGACCTCCAATGTAGTACAGTTGCGGGAAGCACCCAAAAACCGTAGCAAACCCAAAAGGGGACTACATTGGAGGGTCCAGGTACATGGATTATCCTAGATTTGTACGGCTTTGATCTTTATCATCGATAGTCTATATATAAGAATATTTCTTAAATTTTGAAGCCTAAGCCCTAAACCCTAAACCCTAAAACATGTAGTCACTGGGGATCAGGAAGGCTACCACATACTTGCGAGAAAAGCTGCTGACAGGGGCTGGGCACTGTTTAGGCTACGGCCTAAACTCCATATGCAGGCCCATCTGATGAAGCTTGACTTGCAACCCAGGAAGTGTTTAGGTGTTAGGGTTTTGGGTAACCTATACGGTATCTTTTCCCTCATTCCAAGACTCGAAGTGCAATGGGCCCTGGAAGATGACTGCCCAAAGATCCTTAACACTATGTGCTACTTGGCTTCTATGGGATGGTTTCATGTGTAATAGCTACCCAGTCCACTAGCTGAATTTCCTCATATGGATGCTGCCCGAAGGTTGGGCCACTTGGTCTGACGAGGACTATATAGGGAGGGTGGCGCGGGTCTCACGCAGGTGTCACCCGTTCTTGGTTGTGACCCGTACAGTGTCTAAATGCTTGGCCAAATACAAGCGAATTTGGGCCTGCTTTCTGCCCTGATCTGAGCTCATGGCTCACAGCGTTCTCGGTGAGGATGGAAATGTGCAGTGTGCCGCTGCAGGTGGGTCGAAATTCTGTTGGCTTAAGTAGGTGGGCTTTGGAAAGGGAAAATAGTTGTTTTGTGGGTTACCATGGGGGCGAGTTAAGAAAGAGCTTCGCATCGCAATTCCTTGCATCACAGGGCTGATAGTGAGAGTTGTGCACTGAAAGGATCCGCATCCAAGACTCTACTTCTAGAGTTGCAACCAGACTATGTTCCCCAATCCATTCGAACACATTTCCCTCAAACCGTGCACTTTTTTCAAAGCGCGTACTTTTCTTAAGTTTGTAGTAGAAATATTTCGTAGCAGAATTTTCCATCACAAATGAGGCCCCAGGAAGCCTAAGTTCGTCTGGTAATGTAAATGCGCGAACGATGCCCTTCATCAAGTGCAGTTTAGGATACCTCTAGTATCGAAGGCCTAAACCCTAAGCCTAGACCCCTATGAGCGTGCTCTGAACTCAATTTGTCCACTTCTGCTCCTATCAGGTCGGAGCAGCATCTCCTACCAAAAGCAGCTGCCGAACTGATCCCAAACAACTTTTGCTGTCCTTACCAAACGGAACTCAAACTGAGCTGCTGCTGTTAAGTTAAGTTACTATATTGGAGAAGCCATATTAATCACCATTTACCCATTATGGTAACTTAATTGAAGTTCCTTGACAGCAACCTAACCAAATGGGGCCCAGAAATTGATGAAACTGTCAGATAGCGTCCACAGATAGGCGCCTAGCTTGCTGGCCCAAGTAAGGTTAACCTTTTCATTATTGTAGAGTTGTATTTGTATACATAACCAAATAAATGAATGTTTTTCTACTCCGAGAGGTTAAAAAGATTACCCACTCAGAAGCTAAAGGGGTCTGAAGAATTAGAGGAGCGGTTTGGAGTCTATCTCATAGTATAAGTACTGAAGACAGCAGAGTTGGCAGTTGCTCAGGCTGCTACATCAATTACGGTTGACACCAAATGTCCTGCGACTCTACACCTTGGGAACTATGGTACTGCAGTATTCTAAGAGCATGCAGGATTTTGTTGTATCAACAATATGGTAGCTTCCACACATAAGGTGACCCCAAGATAGACCCCAAAATACTATAACCCGTATTCTTGGCACTGCCAAAAAAATTTCCCCTAATTCTGGGAAACCCCCTAAACCCACAAAACCCTAAAACCTGGACCCTAAGAACCCTAAACCCTAAAACCCTCACTCTGAACCCTAAACCCTACCCCCGCCCCATCAAGATCGAAGCCTCAAAGTGCCATCTACGAACTTCTGCCATCTGCCCGAGGGTTGTGTCATCCGTGAATCTCCAACCCATCCTCCAGGGGGTTTAGGGTCGTTAGGGTTTTTACAGTTTTAAACCCTAAACTTTAGGGTTTTCGGGTTTTGGGGGTTTAGGGGTTAGGCTCTTAGGGGTTTGGGTTTTAGGATTTAGGGGTTTAGGGCTTTGGGGTTTTATGGTCCAGGGTTTGGGGTTTTAGGGTAGTTTTAAGCGTTTAGGGTGTTCGGGTTAAGGAATCTGCAACTGGTGCCATCGAAAAATCCTATAATGGGCTCCCTAACTTGTGGGAACCCCACATTGGTTCCCCAACTACAAGAATTGTTCTTCTGAGCTACCGGAATGGGGCGTCTAGCTTTTGAAAACCCCACATTGAAGGGTAAACTTACCAATGTACGGTCTAGCGATTGGGGTTGCACTTGGGAATGTTAGATTCAGGGCTCTAGGGGTTATGGGCTTAGTAACTGTATTCAGCCCTGCTTAAGGTGTAGGGCTGTTTAACCCGAAACCCTAAACCCTAAGCCCTAAACCCTAAGCCCTAAACCTCAGCCCCTTGGCTGATCGAAAACTTGCAGCTGCTTTGTATGAAGGGCTGCATGGGACCCCCAATTTTCTACAGCTTTTATGGATTATGCCTACTAATTGCAGGGTAACTACTACTAAGCGGTAGGTGATTGGGTTCCGTTGTTTGCAACACCCCAGGCCCTAAACCTCAAGCCAGTTTTCTAGCCGGATGGCACAAAACAGGGTTGAGGGTTCAGGCTTTAATAACTATAGCCTAACCTCACTTGATTTTGCTTCAGTGTAATTTGTTACAATGGTAATAGCTTAGCTGGCTGTAGGAATGCCATTCTCAAAGTCAAACTTTTGCTCCTCTGCCATAACCCCTAGAAAGCCCGAGAAGTTGAAGTCCGAAGAGTCAGGCTTAAGGCAACCGAGTTAAGATCCAACTATGACCCTAAACCCTTAAGCGGTTTAGGGTTTAGGGTACTCCCAAACCGTTTGACCCTGGATCTGAACCCTGGATCCTAAGCCCTCAGCCCAAGATCCTAAACCCTAAACCCAGTAAGCCTGTCCTCAACCACTCTTCACGCACAATGCCCACTTTGCGCCACATGAGCATTCCAAAAGATGGAAGTGATTCTCCTAGGCTCTACGTAGGGTTTACTTGGAGCGTCAAGGGACTTAGAAATTAGGTTAATAAGCCCTATCACCCATATAGCAACCCTAGTTAGCTCTCTTATGAACCTACTTACTAAGTCCCCCTGACCCTCCAAGTAGGAATTAGGGGATAGAAGTGAACCTCGTGGAGTGCAGGGTTTTTTGGGTTCAGAGCTTACGGCTCCCCAGCCTCCCAACAAACATGGAAGCCCGTGCCGTATGAGCTTTAGTCTACGCTCCTTAGAGGGAGTTATATAGAAGATTATATAAGGGAGTATACTAGGGCTCATTAAGGGGGATACTAGGAGTTTCGACTGTAGCTCATACAGCTCCATCTACAAGAACAGTATGCCTTTGTGGGGCTTCTTTTAAGCTTCCCTGGCTGTTTGGGGTAAGGTTTAGGTTTGAGGTTCCAAACGCGCAAGGAGGGACTTGCCAGTTGGTAAGTTGTTTGGCTACCCTAAACCCTAAAC